ACTGTGAATTATAGCATTTGTTATAGCACGACTGTTGAAATTAAGTGTATCGCACAGTCGTATTCATAAAGAATAAACCAGTTTTATTTAAGAAAGGACTTGTATCGGTAAAGTTTCTTCGGTAAGAATTTCTACGGAAAATTAACTAAAGAACGGAGACGTAACAGTATCTTTGAGTAGATAATACCTGTTTTCTTTTTGGGAGATATTGCTACAATATCGTTGCAAGGAATTGAGAGCAGTTTGTTCAATAAAATATAGTGCAGGTGATATCTCGTGGTTATGACCTCCCTATTTTAAATGATAATGACCAGCACAAGGGTAGTGCTAGTCACTCTGAATAGGTATGACATTTCTTGCAAAGACGACTGGATTTAATCAATCTGTTATATGGATTCAGCTTGAATAGACATATATATAGAAGATCTAGTAGAAGATGATTTTCCCATGTCAAAAGCAAGTGCACACACTACATTTGTATTTTAAGTGTGATATAAATATAGATGATTTATTTTGTATTTCCCTTTGTGTCCAGTTTCCTTATTTCATCAATTTTCACAGCTCAGTTATTCAGAGATATAGGATTATTTCATAATTAGTATTTTGATTGAATCTCTTGTTATTCCGTTATCCCACTGATCTAAAGTTAATTCAGCTTTACCTGGATATACCACATTTCATCAATTCTTAACAATATGTTAATTACAACCCATTCCTGACCTGTTATATCTTGTTCTTGTTTTGTAATATTTCTATTTATTGTTTTGATGTGGATTATACATAGTTCCTGACCTAATGATCGGTTGTATCCAGTTCTTGATGTGGTGTGTGTTTGCACTTCATTTTGATATATATATTCAGTTTAAAGACCTGATTTTTATTATTTAAATTTTCTGACTTGATGTTGGATTATATCTCATTCCTAACCTGATATTTTATTACATCCAGTTCCTGATCTGGTTGTTTATTATATACACTTTCTGTCCTAATGTTTGATTATATATATGTATAATTTTTTGATTTGATATTCTTATATAGATATAATTTATTTCTGACCTGATGTTTGGTTGTATCCTTTTCCTGATGTGAAGTAATGTATTATATCCAGTTACTTACCCTCTTTTTTAATATATATAAATTTTTGTCCCATGTTTGATTATATTCTTTTCCTGAACTGTTCTTTATTTCTGTTGTAGCTCATATTTCAATGATTCTGTTATGTTTCATGATCTGATACTTAATTATATTCAGTCAATTTAATGTCTACATCCAGACCCTACTGTAATGACACATCTATATAAATGGTATCAAGCTACTGGAGGATGATAGATGCCATGCCCATATAACCATCAATTACTTTAGCTTCCCAGCACTTTCAGCTTATAATAGTGTGGGGCATTTATCATCTTCCAGTAGCTTGATACTATTTCTATAAATGTATAGTTATATAGGGTGTCAATGTAGGGACATTATAAGTATTGTTTGCAAACTAATGTTTGCCCTAAGCAATGTTTTATGTTATATTATTTTATATTTTGTTGGCCCTAAAAACATAACATAGTGATTATTTCTCTTCAGTGATATTTAACGATGTGGGTGCTTCTGTTGCTGTTCATGATGTGTTGGTTACTTGCATTCTTATTTTTAGAATAAAATAAAGATAAGTATTGTTACGTCTCCGTTTGTTAATTGATTTTCCGTAACTTCGTTCCGACAAAACTTTAACGACACAAGTCTTTACTTAATAAAACTGGTTTATTCTTTCCGAATACAACTTTACCGATACACTCAACTTCAACAATCGCGCTAAACAAACGCTATAACAACGAACGTGCTCAATAATACTTCTGACTGCAGATCAATTACTCACTATCTTCACACACACATTACCTTACCTTCCCGCGTCACGTTTTCCCCCTCTTATATATACCAGCCTACCCTATCTAGTAAATACTAGAGCATTCGCCAAAGTACATGATAGTTCTAGAAACGGTGCGTCACAGTAGTCATGTGACTCGCTGACGCAACAGTATATACAGTACTTTATGTAGTACCTGAATGGTTTGTAATGTGGTTGGTTGTGGTATAGTTGATATATTTTTTCAATTCTTCTCAGGTAGTTGAATCTGTTCCTAGGTTCATCCATGTTGAATATTTATCATACAAAGTTGCTCAGGCTATTGCATAGTTTTAGAAGACTTTGTCCTAGTTATGTGCTTTTCTAGTTTTAAAGATTATTTTTGTTTTCTATACCACATATACATTGAAGTGTTTTAAATTGTTTTGTACATATTTCTTTTCAGATGTGGTTTATATTTTTTGCTAGGTAAATGAAAAAACTATTCAAAGTGTGAAAAAAGATCCTCATGATTTAATACTTGAACTCATCCGTTCCAAACCACCATTAAAATCTGTGAGTACTCACTATGTTTAAACTAATTTTAAAATGATATCATTTTTAAAATATGGACACCTACTTTTTAATAAACATTCTAAGTACTCCAAATTAATTTCTGCAAGTACTTGTTGTTTGTTGGTAGTTCATATTTATACTTTTTTAACGTTATAAAATTCTGTGAATATGAATTATTTATTGTTAACTTTTAAACTTTATACTTCAATCTTAACTAATGTTAGTATCATCACGTTTTTACAAAATAACATTAAGAATGTTTAAATATTACATCCTTGTTTTTATTTCATATTATGTGTATTTCAATATTTAAAGCTAACAAATATTTTTTGTTTGACTTTATATTTTTATAAGAAACACTTTAAAGCCTTTGAATGTTAGTTTGGTTTGTTTGAAATTTTGTGCAAAGCTACACGAGGGCTATCTTTGCTAACTGTCCCTAGTTTATCAGTGAAAGACTAGAGGGAAGGCAGCTAGTCATCACCACCCACCGCCAACTATTGAGATGCTCTTTTACCAACAGATAGTGAGATTGACAGTCACATTATAACAACCCCATGGCTGAAAGGGCAAGCATATTTGGCAGTACAGGGATTTGAATCCATGACTTTCAGATTGCAAGTTGAGTGCCCTAACCACCTGGCCATGCCAAGCCATTGAACATTGTCTGTCAGTTCCTTTTTCATATGTGTACCATATGCACTAGCTTCAAAATTTTTTGATTATGTTCTTTTTTTTAATACATTTATCAGTTACATCCTCCTTAAAACATAAGTAATGACTCATCATTTCAATTTATATATTGTATAAATGATCTTTAAAACTTATGGTTACTGATTCTTATTTTCAGTTTAAATTCTGTAAACATGATATTTAAACCTTGTAGTTACTGATTTCATTTCTATGTTTATATTCTACATATGTCACATTTACACTCTAGTTATTTATATCTTCTTTTTGAATATATTGTTGCGTCAGCGAGTCACATGACCACTGTGACGCAACGTTTCTAGAATTATCATGTACTTTGGCGAATGTTCTAGTTCTTACTAGCTATAGGGTAGGCTGGTATATAAAAGATGGGAATGTAATGTCTGGGTAGATAGTGTGTAATTGA